TGCTGTGTGGGCGCACTAGGCCTAGCTCTAGTTTGTATCCCCCCCCCTCCTCCAAAACTGGCTCTCTCCACTGCTGTGTGGGCGCACTAGGCCTACGTCTTGTTTGTATCTCCCAAAACTGGCTCTCTTCCCAGGATTTTATTTGGTCTACCAGTTTACTGGGAGGTACAGGGGGATGGAATGCCGACTGTGAACTTCTGTCTTATTATACCGACTGTGGACTTCTGTTTTATAATACCGACTGTGAACTTCTGTTTTATAGTACCGACTGTGAACTTCTGTTTTATTATACCGACTGTGAGCTTCTACCGACTGTGAACTTATGTTTTATAAAACGACTGTGAGCTTCTACCGACTGTGAACTTCTGTTTTATAAAACCGACTGTGAGCTTCTACCGACTGTGAACTTATGTTTTATAATAACGACTGTAAACTTCTGTTTTATAATAACGACTGGGAAGTTCTGTTTTATAATAACGACTGTGAGCTTCTGTTTCATAATAACGACCGTGAGCTTCTGTTTTAAAATAACGACTGTAAACTTCTGTTTTATAATAACGACTGGGAAGTTCTGTTTTATTAAAAAAGGGGAAATATACTGTGGCATTGTCTCTCTCGAATGAACGTTTCATCTTGTCTGTATGCGTGTTGGTGAGTACATCTCAGCAGCCAAGGGCTGAAATCAGATGCTCGTCAAAGAATGAAACTGAAGAAACTGGCATTTTTCTGCCTGTTTGGAAATGTTCATCGAATTTTTGGTGGGTCTTTTTTTGGCTTAACGCCATTGTTGTCCAATTAAGAACACATTTCTGGGTGGATTTACGGGAAAGCGTTGATTAAAGGCACAAATAATTTAAGTTTTCAGTTTCCACGGACGATCAAGCTATGGAAATAAGCAAACTTTGGCGGCCATTTTTATCGCTAATTCTACCTTTGAAATCACACCCCACCTTCTCCAATCTCAAATATTTTTGACTTCTATTCAAGATAGGTGGGCATTTTTTTCCACCGATAGCAAGACAACTGAACAAGCTTTAAGATGATATCAATAACTCTACATGCTCTAAAATTGACGAGCGCCTGATTCCACCACGTCGTGACATATATAAATCTACAATGATAATAATAATATGATAATGATAACGATGATATTATGGCAGTAGTTCTGACAGCGGCCATGTAAATGAAAGCCGTAATGGATTCAAGAAAAAAAAAACAAAACAACTTGCAACGAAACTTTTGCTCCAATAATCGAAGTCGAAGGTGCCATATGAAATCAAAAATTTTTCAGCTTTGAAAGGTCATAACTTAATAAACAAACAAACAACAGCATCATTCACATCTTACGTGCAAAGTTCCAAATCGTTAGACAGACTGATATCTATTTCATCCCTTAGCTTGTGAGGACCCCCTCCCCTTCCCCACCCCTCCCCAC